GCCCTGTCGTGAGCAGGTCGATGGCGCATCTCTCGAAAGCAACGTTGCTGACGAGGTTGGCGGCCCCAAAAATGAGCGGATCTTGTACGCCGCTCAAAACCACGAAAACATGTTGTTGTTTGACAGTCTAGGGGAGGGATTCGGATCAAGGTCTCTGGGAGACCTACACGGGACCTCCAGGGCATAGTTGCTTTGATACGCCCGTGTTGAAGCGCAGCTCGTACCGTGTTCAAAGCGTCCGTGGGAGCACGCTGCGTGTCGGCTCGGCACGCGTGGGCCCAGGTTTGGGCGCACATCTCGCGCCAGGCCTGCAGGCCTCGGAACAAATGAGCGAACACATGCCACATTCAACGGTCAACGCCTCCCCCTCCCCCCACTGTTCAAAGTTGGCGGTGGGTCTGATGAGGTGCACTTCGACCGCAGTCCTCCCCCGCGCGTGCCGACACTGAGTTTGGGGGGGAGCGGGAGCGTTCAGTGATTGTTTCCCTCTGCCGTGCTTTTCCAGTCTCCGCGTGGAGCTCCGTGTCCGCACGCGACGGGTTGCGTGTTGCGCATCGGGGCGTCCACACAAGGACCTCCGGAGCCCTCCGGGCACAGCACCTCCCTGGGGATGTCGGGGGGAGTGCGCGCGGCGCCGCCGCGTCCTGCGGTCGCGCCCCGTGCGGAGCTCCTCACCTCTGTGCCGTCGTGGGAGCTCGCACGGCGCTGCCCCGTCCGTCCGTTTTCGGCGCACAGCTTGCGGTCGGGTCGCGTCGTGTGGACAGGGGCCTCGCCAGCCTCCACCGGTACGGGGTGTCAGCTCCCGTCCAGGACGTGGCCCACCTTGCCCGCCCGCACGGTTCCGCTTCGCCCGGTTTTCGGCGGTCGGATGGGCCCGGGAGTGCAGGCGGGCTCAGCGCGAAGCCGAGGCCGAGGGGCTCTGGCCGCTGGAGTGCGATTCGGCCCTCCTTGCCGTCGCGGCGGCAGGCGGATTTCCCGCCCACGACCCATTCCCATGACCCGCTCCCATTCCCAGACGTCCCATGACCCATTCCCATGACCCATGACCCATTCCCATGACCCATTCCCATTCCCATGACCGATTCCCATGACCCATGACCCATTCCCATGACCGATTCCCATGACCCATGACCCATTCCCATGACCGATTCCCATGACCCATGACCGATTCCCATGACCCATGACCCATTCCCATGACCGATTCCCATGACCCATGACCCATTCCCATGACCCGTTCCCATGACCCATGACCCATTCCCATGACCCGTTCCCAGTCCCAGATCTCCGGCGGTGTGGTCTGTTCCATCTTGCTCCGTCGCGGAGTCTTCCTGCGCGTCTGCCTCCAGGGGCCGCTCTCGGGGCCCCTGGGGCCAGCAGAAGTGGGCCCGGGACGCGGATGGGGGAGGAGGAGGAGGAGGAGGAGGAGGAGGAGGAGGAGGAGGAGGAGGAGGAGGAGGAGGAGGAGGAGGAGAGGGAGGAGGTAGGAGGAGGCGGAGGAGGAGGAGCAGGAGGAGGAGGGGGGGGGGGAGGAGACGAGGAAAAGGAGGAGGAGGAGGAGGAGGAGGAGGAGGAGGAGGAGGAGGAGGAGGAGGAGGAGGAAGAGGGGGGGGACTTCGGAGGCCGCGCGCTGAGAATATCACATGGGCGGAAGTCTGAGTCCTGCGTGGCTGCTGACCTGGCGCCTGATCCCGAGGCTTTGCCTCCTCCCGGCCTCGCCCTGAGGCTGCGCTCTCCCCCCCTCCCCCTCTTTGTTAATTCAAGCTTCGCGCGGCCCGCTTAGCTTCGACCGGAAGAGGTGCGCTCTCGACCCGCGAATCAAAAAAGCTGCTGACTTGTCTTCTGCGCTCGTCTCTTCGCCCGCCTTGGCCAGAAGTGCCCCCTCGTTCCTTCTTGCGCCTTCCTCCTGGTAGCACGATGGCTGTATGGCCATCGCCAGGACCGTTTCTCGGATGGCGTTCGCCGGGTGGTCGCCGTGGCTCCCCCACCGGAGCGGCATGGCCACCCGCATGGGCGCGAAGGTTGCCGCGCTTCGCCTGGGGGTGTCTCGGGAGGTCTGCATGTCCCCAGATGCGTCCTCAGCCTGAGGACGCATCTGGGGACATGCAGACCTCCAGGACGCATCTCGGGGCACGTCTGGCCCTGACAGGGCCAGATGTGACCTGACCTGAATTCTGCTACGCGTGCCCGCCTGACAGTTCTGTTCTCAATGAAGGCTGGCTGAGGCAAGGGGTGCCATGTCAGCCAGAAGTCGCACTTGAGCGGGGTGTTCAACTGGTTCCTCCTCCTGCTCATTACGGTCCTCTTTCCGTTTTTCGTCCTTGTTTATAGTCAAGCAATACGCATACTATTCTCCCTCCTCCCCTGAAGGTGTCCAGAAGATATCACGCCCCCTCCGCGTGCTGGTTCTGTTGCACGCAGGATTTCAAATGTTGATGTTTGATGTTTCTTCCAGTTGTTTACAATCATTTTGTTTTCGCTTTTTCCCTAAATGAGATTCCCGCTGCAGCGTGGGCCTCATTTTCGGATCGGTGCTTTGTTCCCGGCGTTCAGAATGGCGCTCTCGCCCCAGCGCGGGCCAATTGTCTGGATCCGAGTCTTGCTTCATTGCGGTCCATTACTCATTTCCCCTCCTCCGCCTTCCCCTGGTCCTCCTGTTCCTTCCGCTCCTTCCACTCCACTTCCTCGTGCTGCAGCTCGCCTCGCCCCAGCGCGGGCCACTTTTCTGAATCCGAGTCTCTCCTCATCTTTGTCGCCCCCTCAAATCCCCTCCTCCGCCTTTTCCTCCCGATCCGTTCGCTTTAGTTCCTGCTGCTTTTGTTCGTCCTCACCCATGTCCTCCCGGTCATCCTCCTGCTCACCCACCACCTCCTCCTGTGCACGAAGTTCCTTTTTCTCCGATTGCGGATAACAAAGAGGTCTTTCTGTGGGAGTCGCAAGTGGGCTATGACACGCGTCTGCGGATAGAGAAAACTCAGCGCTATGGGATTGGATGGGAGGGAGGGATAGGACGTCAGATGAGGCGCAAGCGCACCTAGCTTGCCCCTCCTCATATCTCCTCCTCCTCCTCCTCCTCCTTTTCCTCCTCCTCCTCCTCCTCCTCCTCCTCCTCCTCCTCCTCCTCCTCCTCCTCCTCCTCCTCCTCCTCCTCCTCTCCTCCTCCTCCTCCTCCTCCTCCTCCTCCTCATCTTCTGTTGCATTTCCCCTTCAGCCACGCTCATACCGGAGCGCCTGGGACAGCAGATTCAAGCAAGCGCTCAACATCTGCATCCCCATCGAAACCTGACCATGGATGGCCGGCAGGCAGCCTGCGCTGCCCCCAGAGGCTCCTGGCGGCCTCTATAGAGGTCTCTATAGGGGACGCAGAGGCCTCCGGGGGCCTCCGGAACTTGCGGACTCGCCCTCGGAGGCCCATCGCTGATCTGTCGGCGATGCACCACCGATCCCAGGCCTGCGCGCGGCGCCTGCCGCGAGACGTGGGGCCTCCGGAGGCCGCCGCGGCGGGCGTGTGCCGATGGCCTCTCCAGGAGTCTCCGGCGGCCTCCGCGCCCTGGCCGGAGGCCTCTCGGCGGGTCGCGTCGCGCGTGCCGTCTCGCTGCGCCCGCCGCGGAGGAGACGGGGTCAGCGTGGGCCTCGGTGCTGTTCGGGCAGCACGCGCCCACGGGGCGCCTGCCGCTGATGATCCCCAGGAGCCAGTCGTCGTCGCCGTCGGAGGAGGAGGGGGAGGTGGAGGAGGAGGAGGAGGAGGAGGAGGAGGAGGAGGAGAATGTGGAGGAGGAGGAGGAGGACGAGGAGGAGGAGGATGGGGGAGGAGCGTGGAGGAGCGCGGAGGAGCTGGAGGAACAGCGGGCAGACGAGACGCGCCGAGCTCGCGCGCGGGTAGAACCGCCGAGCTCGGGCATGGGCAGGAGATAGAGAGAGGAGGACCTGGGAGCGGGGGGTTGGGGAGGCGAGGGGAGGAGTGGATGGCAGGAAATGGGAGTGGAGGGCGACACTTCGCGCTGCCTTCCTTCCTCGTCCCGTTCTCTTCTCCCTACCCGTGTTCAGTATTCAAATCGTTTATGGCATCCCGCCGACCCCCAGAAGAGGATATGTGCAGCTTCTGACTCCGCGTGTGTCGTTTGCTACTTCCTGTCGTGCTGCCTGCGTGTAGCTGTGGCCGGGTCGTCCTCATCGTCCTTCTCGTCTGTTGCGGTTGAATGCCTAGGGGACCGCCTTCTTGGAGCTGTTCAAGACTCCCTGGGTGCTTTTTGAAGCCCTCTGGGGGCTTCTTAAGGGTCTCTTGGGGTTATGTTGGGGGTCTTGGTCCATCTTGTGGGGCGGGCTCCCGAGGTCTCTGTGGGTTCCCCCTCTCGGGCCCCTCCTGGGCCCCCCTGGGGGATTTGACTGTCTTGGGGCCTCTTGGGTCGTCTTGGTGCCCTCTTGGGCAGTCTCCGGGCCCTATTGGGGGCATTTTGGGCTTGCACGCGCGCGAAGAGGCGAAAACGCGAAGAAGGTTCGGATCCTAAGTGGCATCGGTGATTTGCTCCCATTGGGGCCCCCTTGGGACTCCTCTTTGGGCCCTCTTTCGGCGCTTTAGGCCGTCTTCAGGCTATCTTGGCTGGTCTTGAGGCCTCTCTGGCGTGTTGGAGCCCATTGGATCCATCTTTGACAGCATCGTTCGGATCTTGGCGGCCGCGGAGGCTTGCTTTTGAGGCTCCGAGTGGGCCCCAGAGGTGCGTCGCGGAGCTCGACCCCATCCCTCCCTTCTAACGGGATTTTGGATCCCCAAGCGAGGGGGAAAGGGGGAGCGGTGACAGCCGACCATTTCAGACGCTTTTGCACCCCTGGCAAGCGGGGGTCGGCGGATTCTCGGCTCCCCTCCCCCTCCCCTCTTTCCTTCCACCCACCCCCCTTATCACTTATCAGGCACCTCTTCTATGTTGCTCGTTTCCATTATCCCCCCCGCCCGCTCCTCTGCTCTCTCCGTTTCTCCTCTCCTTTCTCTCCCATGCCCTCTTCAGTCCTCTCCTTCGCTTTTCCTCCTTATCATCGTCGACCTCCTCCTCCTCCTCCTCTTGCTCCTCTTCCTCCTCTTCCTCCTCCTCCTCCTCCTCCTTCTCCTCCTCCTCCTCCTCATCCTCCTCCCCCGCGGTTCCGAGGAGTGAGGACGACACCATCCCCCCGTCGAGCGACCTCGAGATCACGTACACGGAGGGCCTGCAGACGAGCTATCGGAGCTCAGACGTGGACCAGCTCGTGTTCCCCCCCTCTCCGCATTCCTCCCTTTCCTCCTATTTCTCCTCCCCCTCTTATTCCTTCTCCTCCTCCTCCTCCGCCTCCTCCTTCCTCTTGCTCCGAATCTCGTCCTGCCTCCTCACTTGTCCTTTTCCTCCCCATCTCGTCGTCGTCCACCTCCTCCTCCTCGTATTCCTCCTCCTCCCCCCTCCTCCCTCGTCCTCGTGTTCTTCGTCGTCGACCTCCTCCTCCTCGTGCTCCTCCTCCTCCTCCTCCTCCTTCTCCTCCTCCTCCTCCTCCTCCTCCTCCTCCTCCTCCTCCTCCTCGTGGGCTGTGCACGGAGGACCCGCTCTTCCCCTTCGGGCACGGCCTCACCTACGCGACCTTCAAGTACGGTGCCCTGGGTCGGCAAAGATCCCCTTGGCCTTCCGCCTGCGGAGCGGGGGAGGAGATGGGGAGGAGATGGGGAGGGCGAGGCGAGTGAGGCTGAGGGCGCCGACGACGACGACGACGAAGCCGAGGACGAGGCCATTTACGACGACGACGACGACGAGGACGACGACGACGACGACGACGACGACAACGACGACGAGGCCATCTGCCGTCTCGGGCCACGGGGCGCCCAGATCGCACGAGAAATCGACAGCAGGAGGGGAGTCAAGCAGGCCGCTTCGGCCTGGCCTGGCTGAGCGAGACAGAACTTAAACATATGAAATAAAGTCGAAATATACAGTGGAAATATATAGATTACACCAACAACATGCCAATGATGATGTTTACGGATAGTTTCAAGACGCTGATTCATTTTCAAGAAGGGCTACGGCATGCAAGCCAAGAGGTAGTTTTCCTGAGGTTGAGCGGGGAAGCGAGATGGGGAGGGAGAATAGGGGGTGTGTAGGGGGGGAGAGAGAGAGAGAGAGAGATGGAGAAGAGCCAGAGTGAGACACAGACAAAGACAGAGAGACGGAGAAATATATATATATATAGAGAGAGAGAGAGAGAGAGGCAGAGAGAGAGAGAGAGCGCACGCAACAATTGGCACCTGGTCTGGTCCGCGGGCGGGGCTGCGAACACCCTGCCCGCACCTCTTTGGCGAAAAACCGCCAGCTGAGAACGGGGGTGGTGCAATGGCCTCCCCCCCCGGTGCGGTCTGCGCGGGACAACGGCCGAAAAAGCAGAGAGGGGGCGTGGCGATTCGGGAGTGGCACTCCCAATCTGCGCGCCCAAAGCGCGCAGAGGGCCAGGTGCAGCCCGTTTTGGCGCGTGCGCGCCTCCCGGGTCCCCGCAGAAAAAGGTCGCCGCGGCGGGGCCCCCCCACGGCAACCCGCGGCGTGAGCCGTGGAGCGTGCTGCAGACGTTCACACGGGGCGCTGGCCCGAAGGGCCAGGGTGAAACGCAGGCGCCGACGGCCCCACCCAGCGGGGGGGGAGGGGTGCAAAGGTCTCCCCTCGCGCACCGAAGGAGGCCGACGGGACCCGAGGACCGGTGGCCGTGCGAGCACCGCCGCCCCCAGCGCCACGCCGAGGCCCCGAGCCGACGGCGCCAGGAGGCACCGCCGGCAGGGGAGCGGGCAGGAGCAGGGGAGGCGCCGAGGGGGGCCACGCCGCCCCTCGGCACCCGAGTGGGGGGGGGGTGGCGCCCGCCGTGGCGGTGGGTGGGCTTGGCATCGCTCGGAGGTGTGCATTTTTCCTTCGGCGAGTACCATCGAGGAGCATCCTCGATCATTTGGCGAAAAAGCCACGCACGAAACCGAACAAAAACCACAGGGAATGGACGTCCGAGCGATGGCCGGGGGGGGGGCTCTGCGGCGGCACCGGGCGAGAGGCGAGGGCGACGGCCCCGACGTGCCGGGGCCTCGGGCAGCGGCACCCAGCGAGAAATCGACTCCGAGCGGCGGGCGCAGGAGCGGGCAGCGGGCAGCGGGCAGGACGCCTCCTCCTCCTCCTCCTCGTCCTCCTCCTCCTCCTCCTCCTCCTCGTCCTCCTCGTCCTCCTCCTCCTCCTCCTCCTCCTCCTCCTCCTCCTCCTCCTCCTCCTCCTCCTCCTCGAGCGAGGACGCCGAGCGAGGAGTCCCCAGGCGGCGAGCCAGGCAGGGTGGGCACCGCACGCCCGGTGTGGCGCCCGCCCCGGGCGGTCGGGGCGCGGGAGGGCGGAAGCGGGGCGGCAGACGGCAGGCGCGGCGGCGGAGCCGCGGGGCGGCGCGCCACGCTCGGCGCGCTGGCGCCCTCGAGAGGCAAGCGAGCCGTCGGCCAGTCGGCAGACGGCAGCCGGATATACGGGGTCGGACGCGGTCGTCGTCGTCGTCGGGGCAGGTCGGGCCCCAGCGCCGAGGGAAAGCATACGGGGTCGGACGCGGTCGTCGTCGTCGGGGCAGGTCGGGCCCCAGCGCCGAGTGAAAGCATACAGGGTCGGACAGGCGTCGGTCGTGGGCGCTGTCGGAAGGAGCTCCTGACCATCGCGCCCGTTGCGCTGTGTCGTCAGGGCAGAAAGTGCGGGCGTAGGAGCCGTATGCGAGGGTCAGTCGCGTGGCCCCGGGGAGGACGTGCGGCAGGGATCGCAGTGCTCGCGCGCGGAGCTTGAGGCACTGGTCCGCCGTAGAGAGATATAGAGAGAAAGAGAAAGAGAAAGAGAGAAAGAGATAGAGAGAGAGATAGAGAGAGAGAGAGACAGAAAGCAGAAATACATAGAAAGAGAGAGAGAGAGAGAGACGGAAAGAGAGGGAGAGAGAGAGCGCATGGAGGGGGAGGCGAGTGAGGAGCATGGAGGGGGAGGCGAGTGAGGGAGGGGGGATGCATTGCATGGAGGGATGCAGTATGTTGGAAGGGAGACAGGAGTGGGTAGGGAGAGGGGAGGAAACGGAATGGAAGAATGCGAGGGGCGTTAGGGAGGAAAACGGTGTGAGGAGAACGGGAAGGAGGATGTTCACGATGGCGATGAAGACGAGGATGACGGGGATGATGTGTCCTCCTCCTCCGCCTCCTTCTCCTCGTCTCTCCATCCTCTCTCTCTCTTTCTCTCTCTCTCTCTCTGTCTTCTGCTTTATTGCGTTCTCAACCTCCTCCTCCTCCTCCTTCTCCTCCTCCTCCTCCCCTCCCCTTCCCCGCCCTGCTGCCGCCGCTGTCGCCGTTTCAGCTGTCAGGCTAGGGCTTTTAGTGCCCTGCCACCTCTGCCAAGAGGTTCGGCCTGGGCGCGGGGAGACCCCAGTGGCACCTCCTGGTCTGAGGTGAACCGCCGTTGACGATCACGGAGGCGGGGCCCGCGGCTTCCTGCCTGCAACCCTGCAACCTATTGGTTGCAGTGCTCTTTGCCGCGGGCATACTGTTGCCGTGCGTGTGGGGGTGCGGGCGCTGGGCAACGCTCCGTGTATTGTCCCTTGGGTGCCGATCCCGAACCCCCGCGCGCCATTTTGGCGCGGGGTGTAGGGCGGTCCTTGGTTTGCTTTCTTATTCTTGATTTCCTCCCT